GAATTTCATACACCGGGCCTGTAGTACAACATAACAGAAAATGGATGGTGTCTGGTTCTCCACCTTTCCAATTTGTTCAGATGATAGCATCTTGAGGGGTGTGGTATTTTAGTATCATACAAATATCTAGCATTTCATCAGCATTTCACCTAATGATTTCATTATCCCTTGATGATACTTGCCTGAAATAATTTATTAGTCATTACAAAATGATTCTTTTCAAATTGTCATTTTTTACATTTATTGGCTGGATTTTCTATAAAGAAGAACTTATTGTCAGCTAGAACTCTTTAGTTAACCTGAACTTGTTAGTTCAGAAGCGTCAGGACAGATGTGCAGGTCTTTTCCTTTATCCGTTTTCAGGGTAAGGAATTGGTGAGCCCACTATTTCCATTGGTGATAAAAGTGTTTTCTGTGATGTTGCTTTTTTTCCTTTTATTTTTGATTTTGGCCTACCACTTTTTGAGTATAATGAACTCATGGATTTGTATATATTCAGTGTGTTTCCACCAGTTTGGGTCATTATTCTTTTTGATGCTCATATTTTCCCTTTTTTTAGAAATTTATTCTGTACAGTTTTGGAGGTCAGAATTTATTATTAATTTATTTTTAATCATCACTCAAGGATATTTTTCCATTGATTTTAGAGAGAGTGGAAGAGAGAGGTAAAGACAGAGAGAAATATTGATGTGAGAGAAACATATCAATTGGTTGCCTCCTGCACGCAGCCCCTGGGCCTGGGCCAGGGCCAGGGAGGAGCCTGCAACCGAGGTACGTGCCCTTGACTGGAATCGTACCCGGGACTTTTAGGTCTGCAGGCTGACGCTCTATATGCACTGAGTCAAACCTGCCAAGGTGGTACTCATATCTTTTCATTGGCCCATGAGACCCTCTTCACAATGGTTCTCAGGTCCTTTTGCCATTAGTCTATTAGACCTTGATTACTTTGTTGTTGTCTGGTTACAGAGAATGTCCCAAGAAATACATTTTTGGCCTCAGTTCTGGTATGTTCCATTACTTTAAAAATCCCTGGTTCCTTTCATTGGGAGATGGTACTAGGAGTGCTCATTGTTTTAATTTGACGTTTTCATTGAGTTTTTTCTTCCCTTTTAGCATTTTGCCCTTACCACATTGGTCATTTCTCCCTTGTTGGTTTGGGATTTGAAGAACATGTGAGTATAATACTTTTACAAACTTACTTTTATTGATCTTCCCCCTAAATTTGATATTTGTTGAGTAATTAGTAATGTTGTAGAGTTACTTCATTTCTCAATCTGCCTTATACAAAAGAATAGTTATCCAACACCAGCTTGTTCTTTTCTTTTAAAACTGATAGTGGTGTAAGATACAGTAGGTTATCTTGCCAGCTAAGAAGATATGCTCTGAAATCCCATGATGCACTGTGTTCCCTCCTGTTGGGTGGGCCAGTGGCATACTATGGGAAAATGTTTTTGCAGGCTGATTTATGATTCGTTTTAATGAACCTTGTACCCTTTTCTTCCTTTTCACCAGATGCCCCCTGGTGCATTTAGAAAAGTAACAATATGTCAATCGATTAAAAAATGGTTAGTCGATCTTGGAATGGTGTGCTGTAGAGTTTTTTAAAGAATTTGCTTTAGTTTTGACATTTTATCATTGTCAGAGGACAGATACATTTGGATGGACAGCTACTACTGTTTTGGGGGGCAGAAAGATTTAGTTTTTTTAAGGAAGAGCTGACAGATCTGGATACTCTGTTCAGTTTGTGTATGTGAATCCTGAGAGAGCACATTTTGAAGGGTTCTGAAAGGCCAAAGAGATGTGTTTGCTTGTTTGTTTGTTTTAAGTTTATTTTTATTGTTGAAAGTATTACAGATATCCCATATTTTCCCCCATTTCTCCCCCACCCAGCTCCCATCCCACTCCAGATCTTCACCACACTATTGTCTGTGTCCATGGGCTATGCATATATGCATATAAGTTCTCTGGTTTATCTCTTCCCTGTCCTCCCACCCCCCTCCCCTCTGAGATCTGTCAGAGATGTGTTTCAATATTTGATACAGCTCTCCAAATTTTCAATAGTTGAATGTAAGAACTTGAAAAGTTAGGATAAATTCTTTGATAAATTTTGACTTTCCAAACTATCACCACTTGCTATCTGGAACTCAGCAATAAAAATAATGGGCAATATTTGTCATTATTTAAAACTCTTGTTCTGTATGTTGAGAATGAGACAGATTTGGAGTGCAGTCACTTCTAGTGGTAGGAAATGAGGTGCCTGGGATGCACTGGACAGGTGGACAGCTTGTGCTCAGCCTTTAGCAAGTCTACTTCAGAATGGAGTAGAGTGCAGACTATTGCATTACAACTTTTCCCTTATTTTTGTAAAATTTAATTCACTCTATTTTGTCTGCTGGAATAAAGTTACTCTTTGATTTTTCCTCATCCTTTCATAATATATAACATTCAGTGGGAGAATCTGGTTTAAAGATGTCATCCAAAGGGGATTTTATGGTTTTCTAGTTGTAAATTGCCTATTTCCAGTTCACTTACAGTCTATTTCAATTGTTTAATACATTGTTAAACTGGGGTGGAGGCCATGTGGTACAATTAAAGTTTATTTATTTTTTTCTTATTTCTAGGTCCAAGCATCTCATTTTGAAGGCCTAATCACAACCATAGTTGGGTATATACTTTTAGCAATAACACTGATAGTTTGTCATGTATCCTTTAATGAACCAACTTGGGTGTTTAATATATTCATACCAAAGAGATGTTCCTGTTACTGACAAAGCTATTTCTCTCCCCTTGTCCTCTTAGTAAAAGTTGTAGGCATTTGTATTGAGGATAAGGGCAGACAAAATGTGAAATAAATTCGTCTGCCAAATAATATTAAGTGTTGCCTAAATTATTATGAGTTTTATTGCACCTTGAAATGCTCAGTTTTTCCTTGACTAGATGCTATAGGGCTTGGCAACTCTTGTTAAATTTCATAGGTCTCGTCGTTTGCTGGGAGTCTGCTATATTGTTGTTAAGGTAATTCTTGTTATAAATTAAAAGTGGAAATGATTTCTCCCCGTTTGGGTGATATTGATGACATTTATTTTTGCTTAAGGTCTCTTTGCTAGTGGTGGTAGAAATTGGAGTATTCCCTCTCATTTGTGGCTGGTGGCTGGATATCTGTTCCCTGGTGAGTTTATTATTCATTATCATACAACCTAATAATTTGAAGGCTTCAGAAAAGACATCTTTAGAATAGGTTTATTTTAAAGGAAAGTCAGTATTTGATAATAATTTGCTTATCTTTTTCTGAGAATATATCACTGTGGAGTCTTAATGTTGCTAATTTTTCCTGATTTTTTTGAGGCTTCATGCAGATTTCTGATGTCAGAGTATTTTGATTGGAACCTTTCTAATAATCAGTGAAGAATTTTCTTAGTGGCTTTACTCTTCTAAATTTTATGATAATGCCAAGACATTATGTGCATAAAAAAAGCTATCTGAGAAGATGGTCTTTGTTACTACCATTTCATAAGTTCAACCCTAAAACCATTTGTGTTAACTAAGATGCTCATTTTTTATTATAATCTCTTCTTAAAATATTTATATTTTTTAATTTTTAGAGAGAGGAAGGGAGAGGGATAGAAAGATAGAAACATCGATGAGAGAGGAACATCATTGATTGGCTGCCTCCTGCACACTGCCTACTGGGGATTGAGCTTGCAATTTGGGCATATGCCCTGACCACTGGGAATCGAACCATGACCTCCTGGTTCATGGGTCAACCACTAAGCCATACCAGCCGGGTGTTTATTACAATCTTTAATGGCTGTCAGTGATAATCAGTTTTTTACTTTTCAAAAATATTTTATATTACATGTGGAAAAGCTACCTTTGATTCTGAGATAACATTTTCTCTCATACTTTTCTATTAAAATTTGTCATGAATGAATATAACCAAGAAAAGAAGGTTTTATGTTAACCTAAAATGGTTCTTTTTACTTACTAATTGATTTATTAGTCTTGCTGCTTATATTTAAAAATTTAAAGTGTCATACATCTTTGAAATAGTATTTAACCTTATATCATTTATATTTCTATGACACCATGAAATGGTATTAAGAGAACTATAGTCCTGGAACATCATAACCTATATGCATAGTGATTTTTATTCACTTCCTAGAAGATGGAGATACTAATTTGGCAAATGTAGGTGCTACAACTCTTACTTACCTGTTCTCTTTTGATTTAGGAAATGTTTGATGCTACTCTGAAAGATCGAGAACTGAGCTTTCAATCAGCTCCAGGCACTACCATGTTTCTGCACTGGCTAGTGGGAATGGTATACGTGTTCTACTTTGCTTCCTTCATTCTTTTACTGAGAGAGGTAAGTTCTACAGGGAGGTGCTGATGCTATATATCCATGAAAAGGACTTTTGTTTAACCACAGTTGTGCCTCAAAGGTTATTATGATTTCCTAACTAAATAATTTTCTCTATTTTAATATAAAAGGAAGAAACTGATTGTAATTGCTTTAGACTGTTTTCAGTCATTTGCTTTAAAAATTGATGTTTTAGTATTTCTGTCTATAATTAGTTTTGAGTGTGAAAGGTAAGTAGACTGAGGGGAAAAAAATTAAATAAGAGCACTTATTTTACATGTAGCCATCCTCTAATACAAATCCTTGGATTTTTATATGATCTGTGCCTATCTTGGACTTCATTCAAGGAAATGTAATGCTGGAAATACCTAAAGGTTATGGTCTTGAAGTAGGCACCTTAAGTGTAGAATTAGAGTGAGGGTCCTTTATTATTCCAGTTCACTTGCCAAATGGGTACCTTACTAATCCTATTTTTGGAATATAGTCTTTACAATTTGAAGACAATGGCAGTGGGGTCAGTATTTGATTAGTATACATCTTATGCTCCATCATTCTGGTGCAATAGGAAGTATAAAACAGATACATGTACTTGCCACTGCATCCTTTCCCTCAGTATTACTGCATAATCACTCTGTGTTAGTTTGCTATTTGCTGGTGTATTAATAAGTGAGAAACAAAGACATGATCCCCATTCTCCTTGATTTTGCATCCTGGGAAGGAATACAATCGTTGAACAAGTCAGCTTAGTCCGGTGATGGAGATGTGCACCACTGAAGGACCAGGCCAACTAATCCAGTTTTAATGGAATCCAAAAGCACAGAGGCTTAATGCTATTCTTGTACTTTGCTGTTTGAGTGTTTTGAGGAGTTAGGGAGAGGCTTGGAGGCCAACATGTTCTCCTGAGTCATATAGTGTTAAGTTCAATAAATTCTTCTCAGGAAGGGTAAGACTGAAATTAGATCTTCTACTTAGGACATTTATAAATTACAACCTAATTCTTTCTTTTTAAAAAAAAATATATTTTATTGATTTTTTTACAGAGAGGAAGGGAGAGGGATAGAGAGTTAGAAACATCGATGAGAGAGAAACATTGATCAGCTGCCTC